CATGTAGAGGTTGATGCCACACTCCACCTGGACCCACTGGGACAAGTCCAGAGACATCCGGTACAAGGAAAAATCAATTCAGAGGAGGATTCGGAAAGCACCGCCCTATGACACAAAAGCCCCTTGTCCCTCTAATGTGCTCTCTTGTACATATCGGTGCCCCATGAACACTACAGAAGGCGATGTTGTCCAGAGACCTTGTCCGGCGGGGGGGGGGGGCGGTCTCTCTTCTGGAGTTCCACTTGCCAGCCCCTTTGTGCAAGACTTGACAGACCTGTGGGCCTGGTGCTAACCCTGGCAAAAGGGCATTGCTGGTGCAATTTCCAATTTATTTATTTATTTTTGTCTCCTGTTTGTTTAGCCTTATCCAAATTTTGCCTTTTTGACGTGGTGCCTATTTATCTCCCTTTTGAGCTTTTCGGACCCTCAGACAAAGAATTAAGTCCAACCAGCCCTGTTGGGGAATTCTGGTGTTGTGCACAGGGCAGAGAGATTCAGGAGCATGGCAGGCTGCTCACCGGCTGAACTCCACCGAAGGCACCCACTGGGTTTTTGGCTTATTGACCTTGGCAGTGTCTTTTGTTCCTTCTGCCTCCTGCTTTCGCTCCAGCTGTCCTTACTCTTTCCACTCCATCTGTGCTGGTTCGTGTATCTCTTCCTTATAGATTGTGGCCAAGGAATGCTTGTTTTAGAAGCTGAGTGGTGGGGGACAGAAAGAGAGAGACCCACACACACAAGCAGCGTACATCTATATTTTCGTTCAGTCCCTGACATCCTGATTTCTGAAATAGCCAGATACAGCCTTGTGAGTCTCTGTGTATCCACAAGCCTCTAAAGGGAATGGGTGTCTGGCCTTCTCGAATCCTTTACCATTCCATTTTCCCCATCCCCTTCCTTTTTTCATTGGTTTTTTGCTTGACTCCCCCTGGGGGAGAAGCTAGTAGATGGAAGAGCGGCCACTCTTGGGGGTGGGGGGTACAGGTGTTTGGCAGTGGTCAGAAGCCGGAGGGAGTGGCAGCTGTTGATATGGGTGAGTGATGGTCTCCTGTATGTCGGGAAGCAGTTACTCGATTAGCAATAAAAGTGTTCCTAAGCATACCTACCCTCCCTGCATTGTGGTGTCAGAAGTGGAACCTGGTCGTGTGGAGTTCTTGTTCACCAGCGTCACGGGCTCATTTCCCCCTTCTCTCTCTGCTGTGGGCACCATGTCTTGGCGGCAGGGAAAGGGGAGACAAATACCACCAACAGAATATATGTTTATAGTGGCCCGATTGCAGCTCCCCGTTGTTGTTTAGCCCAGGGTTCGACTGAGGAGAGCAAAGCTCTCAACTGTGCATGCAAAGGCAGATGTAAACTTTTATCCTTTTAAAAAAGAGATGATATATATATATCTGCTGAGATAGATATATATTTGTATATATATATAAAAGTCTATAAATATATATATATTTGGTTTATTTGGGGCCATTCCATCAGAACGGGTGTACAAATGTACAATGTAAATTTAAAGGCTTATCATAATTCTTCCAACACAGGCATACACACAGACCTTGCCCACCCTTGGATTTATGATAAATGTCTCCAAACACACTCTATTTTTTGTGTATGTGTGTTCCCCACCCCAGCAGTGTTTTTTGCAAGTCTGGGTGCTCTTGCTTTGCCACAGGCTGTGATAATGTGTAGTTCATCACTCAAGGTGGAAGAGGCAGGGAAACAAGTGCAGATTGTTGTTAGAAAGGTGTGGGGAGGAGAGAGGGGGGTGCGAAACGGTACTCTTAACTGCTCTTTCCAATTCCAGTCACTTGGTGTATTTTCTGCTCAAGCAGGGGGCATTGCCAATTGGTATCTTGTGCTGCATCTTAAAATTACTGGCAAGACAGACCCATCCCAAGCACTGAGCAGCTCCTTTCTCGGGGGGTCTCCTGCTTTCTCCATTTCTGCCCCCCACCCCTCCACTTCCCCAATGTATGGTCTCATTAAAGTACAATTAATGACTTTTGTGGTATCTCTGTTTCTCTCGTCTGTTGTTTGCTGGGTTTGGGTTAGCAGAGAGGGGTGGCTCTTGGCTGCAAACAAAATATACCTGGTGAGACAGGCTTATTCAGCAGCGAAACTTACATTTTTCAGGCCACTTCAAAAATTAGGCTGAAGTAACAGGTACATTTTTTTAAAGCATTTTAATGATCACGTTGGAAGCGCCCCTCCCTTTTTCATTTGCAGGCAACTCCCCTTTTACATAGGGGTTATATCCTGAGGTAAGGGATGTGGGTAGTGCTGTGGGTTAAACCACAGAGCCTAGGACTTGCCGATCAGAAAGTCGGCGGTTCAAATCCCCGCAATGGGTGAGCTCCCGTTGCTTGGTCCCAGCTCCTGCCAACCTAACAGTTCGAAAGCACGTCAAAGTGCAAGTAGATAAATAGGTACCGCTTTATAGCGGGAAGGTAAACGGTGTTTCCGTGTGCTGCTCTGGTTTGCCAGAAGCGGCTTAGTCATGCTGGCCACATGACCCAGAAGCTGTACGCCAGTTCCCTTGGCCAGTAAAGCGAGGGGAGCGCCGCAACCCCAGAGTCGTCCGTGACTGGACCTAACGGTCAGGGGTACCTTTATCTTTATATCCTGAGGCACCACACATGTAAGTGAAATCACATATATTGGGAACATCATTGAAAAAGCCTGAAAACGCCCTCTAAACCTCTGGAACCCCCTAACCCCCCCCAAAAAAATAATCCACCAGACTCCACCACAATGACTCCCTCCATCTCTTCACAGGCCTCAAAAGGTCAGTGCAAAGGCTCATGGGATTGCTAGATGCTGTTTTCACACCACTTTCACCATTTTTGTGCTCATTTAGGGCCTCTTTCCATGCCACTTCCGGGTTCGCAGTGGTGCACGTGTGCCTTGAACACGCATAAATGGTGAGTTGCTTGTACTGTTCATATTCACCATTCATCCGTTACAGTTTTGTTTCTCCAGATGGAATGGGAGAAACACATTCCTACAGCTGGCTGCCTCTGCTACTGGTCTGTGTTGTCCTGAGGCTGCTCTTGGATGAAGAGATGGCTGGTGATGGTCTGATAGTGTTAACTCTCTCCCTGCCTGCATTCCCTGTCTAACCCACTGTGCTAATGATTTCATGATGCCAGTGCAGGTGCAAGGAGAGGATAGGGAGCTGGTGAAGTTGGCCAGGCTTTCCCCCAACTTTCTCATGTTGAGTGGGAAATGGCTTTAGGACAAGGGCAGCTAAAAGCAAGTGTACATGCAGCAGATGATCACCTGAGGAGAAGAGGAATTGAGTAAGGGAGACACGCCTGTTCATCCTGATCAAAGGACCACTGTCCTAGTGGAAGAAGACTTTTATCCGCCCCAACCAGAATGGCCAGTGGCCAGGGATGATAGGAGTGGTATTATACTACAGAAAAATATGAAGGACCACAAGTTCCCCAACCCAGGTTTGAAATGTAGAGAAAATCCATTTCCTATGTGTACAGCGTCACCACCAGGAGGAGGCTGAAAAGGTGAATGGAGAGCTGGCTAAAAATGCCCATCAGATCAAATGCATATAGGTCACAAGTGACTCACCCATACAAAATGCAGCAATGCCAATGCAGTTACAAAGCTACTTTCCTGAATCCCTGCCAATGAGTTTTCTTTTCTTTTTCAAGAAAACATATTACAAATACATTTTAAAAATGGATTTCTGTATTTCATATGTGTGCAAGGAGCCTCGATAGTGCTCTAAGTGGCACATGTGCAATCACTTAATGTATCCTGGGCTGCTGAGAGATGTTTTCAATTTCACCACTGCATCCCTAAATAACTTCTGTGCTGCTGGAGCTGTGGGGAAAGCAATGTGCCTCTTATATCTGACCTGCTCCCCGGACCCCTGTTTTGCCACCCTATCTATTTTAGGGTGAGAGCTCAGTGATTCTCTCTCCTTCCTTAAAAGCCAACAGCTTCCCCTCACCCCCAATGGCTGCCACCAGTGTGTGGTCACTGTGTAAATCTTAACTTTTTTAAAAAAAAAGTTACACCCCAATTTCCTCCTTTATTCAAGTTACCAACTGCAGATACCCAGGGGCACAGATATATACAGAAACCTTGTTGGCTGTAGGGTGTAGTGGGGAAAATTCAAGCCACAAAAGCTGTAGTTGGCATGTTCAGCATTAAAAAAAAAAAAAAACTTCGCCCAAAGTGTGACCGACTGACAATTAGTAATGGGTCATTTCAGCAGAGCTGCTGATCAGGTGGCAATTGAAGCAAACTCTACCCCATAAAGAAGCCTTATTTTTTTCCTCCTCTTGGAAGTGGCAGCAGCCCAGGACCCATCTGCTGCCTGCCAAGCACAATTGCAGGCATCTGCTCTCGCTCCATGGGGATTTCCTTGTTTGTGTGTGTGTGCTCCATCCCAAGTGCCAATGTTCCTGCTATCTCAGACGGACCCAGGATCAAAGCCCAAAGCAAATAACTCATTAGGCACAAGAGGCATCTGCGCTCTTAATAAGGTGGCATGATTAGTTGTTGCATGTCCCATCTGTTCTGGATCTTAAGGACACCTGTGGCAGGCTCCCTGAATAGCCACTGACAATGGCAGCTCTCCCCAAGTTCCTTTGGCGTTTCTATACAATTTAGAGGCTTAGCTTGGTCAGAATTGAGTATACACTTCCAGAGTGGAACGCTAAATACATTACGTCTGGTAAATGAGACACCATAGCCACTAGAGGGCCATGAGAACTTGTGTCCTGGGCTTTTCAGACTCATGGGCTATCTGAAACCAAAGAGTTGCATTGGTTTGCCAGATGTGAAATATATTGGCATTGTTTTCAGCTCTGCTACCCCACTAGTATGAACTTCCTCTCCTCCACTACTCATTTTATCCCCCTTACAGTAGTTCAAGCTAAAAAAATGGTGACTTGTCCCATATCAGCCAATGGAGATGTGAACGCTGGTCTCACAGCTTCTTAGTTCAAAACTACGAACTACTGCACCACACTGTCTTGCAATCCATTCTAGTAAGTGAGATCATGCTTTATTTTGAAAACATTGCCATTTAGATGCTGGTTCTGAATTGAAGGAATGCCTAAGATTTCTGAGCAACGCTAGAGATTTTCAATATTTCCACAAACGGTGAACTAAAAACAAGTGAGATGAAAAAATTGCTCAACTGTGTCTCCTTTCATCCTACCCATGCTTCCCAGTGATCACTTTAAAACACCTCCTTTGCTGTTGAATTCTCAATCAAATCTTAAGGTATTCAGTCTTGATTTCCTGCTACTACCACTCTGCTCCAAATGCAATACATTTTGTCCCGAGTCTTTTTTCCTTATTGAAAGTGGGTTCTCTTTGCAGCAGCCCATTCAAGATGCAATTTTAACCGTTCTGCCAAAGGCCACGTCGTCTCTGTTTTGGAGACAGAAGAAGTGGAGTGTTAGAACCATCTCAAGGTGCTGGAGATTTATGCTAGACAGACGGGGGGCAAGGGTCGGCAAGACGGGGTTATGACTCAATAAAAGAACAAGCAGTGGCTTATGCTTCACTTGTTCCCTTCACAAAGGAGCTGCTCAAAGCGGCTTACAAATTCAAGCAAACAGAAAAGCAATGATCCAGCTATATAGGAAGGTGTGTTTGTGGCTGATGCACTTGACAGAAAAGGCCATTTGCACTTAGATGGCCCTAACATACAAAAGGGAACAGGGTTGGACACTTCTGTAGGCGCTAGCCCAGAGTAAGCTTGTATCCGTCCCATACTTTGTTTTAAGAATGCAAACGTGTAAGCTGCAAAATGTGGTGATCCTCTAGCTTTGATGGGAGCACAGGGATGCTGCCCAAAGTAAAGCCACTTGGAGCACAACAGGTAGGCATCTTGGTGGTTCTTGTTTCTGTATTTCTCGGGCGACAACAAGCATACATGAACAAACATACATGAATTTTGACACAGTATACTTCCACAAGCAGAGTGAGTGATGTAGTGTGACCTTAGCCCCTAGAATAGCAGTTTGTGTGAACAGAGTAAAAGAATTAATGGCAAGAGTCAGGTCCTCTATTTTTTAAAAAAACAAAAAGAGATACCATCCTGTATAGCCAAGAGAGCTTAGTCTGTCTTCCCAGTTTACCCAGTTGCTTTCCAGGAGCTCGTACCTTGTGATGAATGCTGCTTTCAGACCTTTTCCAGGGATCATTATGAGCTCGAGATTCTCTGCTGTTCCCCTAGCAAGACAGCTAACTAACAACCACATTTGATCCAGAGCATTTTGTGTAGCGGTGGAAAAGCTGTGAAACTCCAGGTGCCATTTGCCTCCCAACTCTCATCAGCCCAGCTAGCCCAATGATCAGGGATAAGGGGAGGTGAAGTCCAACAAGCTGGAGATCAACTTCCCCTTCTTCATTTAGTGAAGCAATCTTAAAGATGTTAAGGTATCTGCAATGGTGTTAGGAAAAAATCCCAAAGTTCGTATTAGGCCAACCAAGATGTCAAAAAAGAGTGTGCTGTATGCAAGCTTTTGAGCTCTCCAGAACTCTTCATCAGGCCAGCTGGCCAAAGGGGAAGGGAGACTTGAGAAAACATCACTGGTGTTGAAGCATCTGATAAGCGTCATAAGGAGTGTGGGAAGGAGCAAGCATTAAACTGGCATTGCACTGTGGCCTTCTGAGGAGGAGAAGAAACACATAATAGAGGCGTTCCCATCTCTAAAATAAGCTAATCTTCATAATCAAACTGCTATCTCCATAGCTTTCCTCCACCGTGGTACAGAAGTGGATTAGCAGCTTTGTTTTGGGATTGGAAGAGGAATCTCTATACCAGGCATACAGTGTTGCATGTTCACACAAACCTGTGCTTATTGCAATGTGATTAATACTATGCAGAGCAGTGGAATTCAAAAGCGATTGCTTCTATAGCAGCAGGTAGCGATGTTAATGTGACAGGTGACTAAAAGTTGTTCCTGTATGAAGCAGGTGGTGTTAGTCTGGTCTAGCAACAAGTGGCCTGTGACTATACTCATGCGCTGGGAAGCATCATGCAAGTGCCTGCATGCAGTGGGAAGCATACAATTTGCTGTACTGTACCTTTACGCTGTGCATGAAGAACTTAAACTGATGTGGGATCATCGCTTCGAAACACAAGCCCTTCAACCAAAACAAGGGCTATATAAATGGCAGCATTGACTGATTTCAAATTAAACCCTGCCAAAGGTGAAAACCCTTTTATGTGTCTCTTGGCAAGTGAAAAGGGATGAGAGAGAGAGAGAATATCAAATAAATTTTGAAGGGGCATTTTCTCTGTATTGCTCCGTAACCAGTGAAATAAATCCACATGTTTTCTTAGTGTGTGGAATTGACTCATGTTTAAATCCAAACATAGACATCAGTAGAGGTCACAGAGATAGCAAGGTCCGAGGGCAAAGTCTTTACATACACATTGCCTGAAATAAACCTAAAATTCAGGGGTTGGGTGGGGGGGGGAATCTGGGTTACAGAGTTGCTTCTTTCTATAGCAATGAAGGATCCATTGCCTCTCAGATCATTCAATTGGACATTATATGGGAGATTGTTTTAATTAATTCATAGGTATAGACATAGAATCACATAGGAACCACAGCAGAGAGAGGGAGGAAATTTAACTTAGCATGGTACCATTTCCCCATAGCTGCTGTTTTGCCCCATAAAACTTGGAAGAAGAATAGAGGTGTCTGCTCTATAGCACAAGACATGGACCTAGATACAGTACAGGCATTTGGTCCATCCATATGTTCATTGAGGTGTGTGTGTACAACTCAACCAAGAATTGAGAGCATGTGAGCTTTCTGTCCGCAGATCTCCCAGCAGCACAGGGAAAGGTTTCCCATAGGATTCCTTGGCAATACCTGGATAGTTGCTATTCCTGTTTCATTTGCTGCCTTCTGCCCTGCCTGCATCCAGTTACTCTATTTTAAGGTTACCAGATGTTCTCGTTTCCCGGAGACAGTCCCCAGATTTACAAATCAGTCCCCTGACAAAATCCTATCATTCTTACTGAAGTTGAAAAGTGTCCCCGGATTCATTGAAAAAAAATCTGGTAACCTTACTCTATTTGTCTTTAACTCTCGCCCTCCTCCCCCAAAGCCAGATAGGCCATTGAAGTCCCAGCTCACCTCCTGGCTGCCAATCTACTGCGAAGAAGAAGAGTTTGGATTTGATATCCCGCTTTATCACTACCCGAAGGAAAAAACCCGAAAAAAGCGAAGGAAAAGTGGCTAACATTCTCCTTTCCCTTCCTCCCCAACAACAAACACTCTGTGAGGTGAGTGAGGCTGAGAGACTTCAGAGAAGTGTGACTGGCCCAAGGTCACCCAGTAGCTGCATGTGAAGGAGCGGAGATGCAAACCTAGTACCCCAGATTACCAGACTACCACTCTTAACCACTACACCACACTAAGCAGTGACTTGGAGGCACACAGAACCAAAATCCACTGGTGCACCTAACACATTACATGATGAGAGGAAAGGTATAACTACTCTGCAAGTTAAAAATAACTTAATTGCCACTGTATTGAAAGGTATGCTGTAACACACAAGCAGTCCCATCTCTGTGGAGCCATCCGTTGTACCTCTCCATGTGCAGAACTGATGCAACCCCCCCCTCCAAATAACACAACACTATTCTAATTGGAAGGACCAAGGGGCTGAGCTCAAAAGACAGTCATCTTTTGGTTACCTTTATTACTTTACAGCTCTTCTGCTTTTAGATGGCAAATTAAATCACCTAGATTTAAAACCCTTTCTCCAGTATCTTGTGCCCTTTGGCCAAACATTTCTCCTGGAAGACACACTAACAAACCACAACCAGAATCTGTGCAAATCTCTCTGAAATCCAGAGTTTTGTCAAGTTTCCCACTTTTGAATTTCACATCTGCCCTCTTCTAGTAGCTTCGCTAACTTCATGGGGCAGTTAGCATTTTGCCATTAGACCCAGGCAAGCCAATAAGCTTGTTGCTATCAAGAATCCTCCAGGATACCTGCAAATATCCTTAGAGGGGCAGAGGCAGATTTAGAGACCAGCTGAGTCCTCTGATTCCCAAGCCTTGCATTTAATTGTTTTGTTACAGCAGGATGCTCAGCGCCTTCTTTTTGCAAGTACACCAGCCTTGCCTTGAATGCTTTGTAGAGAGCCTTGGGCAAGGCAATACCTATTTCAACTTTGAACTCTGCTCTAGCATTTTACAGCAGAGGGGCTTGAGGTAGCTAAGGCTGTCATCTCTTGCGCAAGCACCCATAGGATGTTGCGACACCTAAGTGTCTGTTCTCCTAAGATATATAATTGGTTAGATTTTCAGAAGCTAAGCAACTGTTCTCAAAATCTAACCTATTATATTTCTAGCCAGCACATGTTGGTGGGTTGATGAGCCAGGTGCCTGTGGCATATCCTGAGGCTCACAGATTTGAGGTTCAGATGCAGGCTGCGTTCACATGGATGTTCACAGTACAGCTAAAGTTTATTCCCAAAGTGTTCATGCAATACAGCAGTAAGGTACTGCTATAAGTACTTCTGTGTACACAGGTGCTGCCCATCCTGGGTGCCCGAGTAAAGGTGTTTTTTAAAAAAATAAATAATTATTCACTCAGCTTGACAAGGACATCTCTCAGCAGCTGAAAAAGGCAGCAGCAAAAAAGATCAGTCTTGGCACTTGCCTTTAAGGTAAGTACAGTGGCTGGGCAGCTAGCCCAAGCATTAGAGACATGATTTGCATGCAGAAAAACCCAGGTTCATGCCTTGGTGCATCCACTTAAAGTATCTCTAGTAGGAACACTGGGGAAAATCTGTTTTGGGGACCTTAAATAATTGCTGCTGGGGCCCCTAAAGAATACCCCAGTCTCCTTCCCTGAATTTTTAGCCTCCATGGCCATTTCACAGGTGGAGATCACAGGAAAAGAGGGCAGTGTATTCTACCCATTTGCTCCTAAGAAGTACCCTTGCCTTCCAATGTTCTGGGGAACGAGCGCAAATGTATTTGGATAACAGCTAAACTCTAAGCCCTTGTTTGTAAATGTGATCAAATTAATAGTTAATCAAATCAAACCACTTTAAACATATTGGGCTTACAGTATTTATGTTGTGATAGTTCTGCAATGAATATGAATACAAGGAGCTACCTTTTGCCAAATCAGACTGACTGGCAACAGCTCTCCATGATCCAGGTAGGGATCTTCCCAGGCCTACCTGCAGATGCAGGGGATTAAACTTAGGACCTGGCTTGTTTGATTTCTTACAGACTAATCTGGCCTTTCTCTCACCATGAAGCCCAAAGCAGTATACATGTGGTTTCCATGTAGTCAACCAGGCACCAACCAGAAACAAACCCACTTAGTTCCAGCAACATGGTGGTAGTCTCATGTGCCTTCAGACCATACCCTTGGATCATCTATTTTCCAAGCAGGTGTTCTACATCCTTCCCCTAAATACTCTTACCTGTGCCTCTTGGGCCCCTGTCCCACAAAATGGGCTATGGGCCTGCCCCCAGCCTTCCTCCCTAGGCTTCCATGATTGGTCCATACCTGAGTCCATCAGAATGTTCAAAGGGGAGTCATAAAGTTGCAGGTACTGAGCTGCACTCAGTAACTCTTGGCATTCCAGCAGGTGGCAGATGGTATCTTGGGGAACAATGAGCTCTGGGACCTTTTCCAGGATGGCATCTTCAAGGTTCTTGGGCTTCTGGAGAAGAAGTTAAGAACTCAGCGTCAGGTGAATCCCATGGTCTATATGAAGACAGGAACACTGTGCTGGTGGGAATATTTTGCTGACCTGTCCCGTTTTATGACGCTTGGGTCACTTACCAGTCAGTGCAATGAAAGGGACAATGAAAAGAAAAATACCACTGCATTAGAGATGAAACTTATCCCAGCCTTAATTTTTGATGGCGTGGCATCAGTTTCCCAAGCTATTTGAGGAAGAGATGCTGTTGTAGCTTGCTGTTGTTCTAATGGGATCGTTTTGTTGCATATTTTAATTATGGATGTTTATATTTTAATGTTTTAAGAGGATTGTTTTTTTTTACTGTTGTATTTTAATTGTGAGCGTTTATGTTTAAAAGTCTGTGCAACTGGTTTTTATACTAGCGGAAGCCTAATCTGGCATTAAGCAGTATATAAATTACTACTATCACCACCAACACCATCAAATTGGAGAGCTGTTGCCATGCCTCCTTCAGCCACTCTTTCTCTCACTCCTCCGTGGCCCAAAAAAGCTCCCATCTCTTCTTCGTGACCTCCATCATATCAGGCACTACTAGGCTGCATTGCAAATGGCTGGTGGCGGTCTTCAGTCTCTGTGCGTGCAGCGCCTGACATACTAATAATGCATGCTCTGCAGGTACCAAAACAGCGAAAACAATAGTAGAACAGGCTAGGAGAGTGTCAGACCCATTCTGGCAATGGCTCAAGGGCCCATACCTTGGGGTACCTCTGTAGATGCTTGCCAAGTTTCAGGAGCGTGGTGAGGCACTCGCAGATGATAGCCTCCGTCGGCTCTTCTCGGGCTGCACTGTACTCCTGGTATCTCTCAGGCACATTCAGCACTTTGTAGTTCCACTGCTGGAAGAGTCGGGAAGGGAGGTTGTGGGACATGACAAGGATCTTGGCACCCAGGACTAACACTCTGAAACAAAGGTCAAGAAATCACAGCTCAGAGCTTGCACTTTCTTTTGAAACCAAGAGAAAAACAACTATTGATGGGTGGGGTACCTCTCAGGACAGAAACAAAGGCAATGGGGCAAGCAAACCCCCTCCACCCAGCAGCAGGATTTGGCCTGAGTCTGCATGCACAGCATACATTTAAAGTATGTCTCCATCCACAAAGAATCCTGTGAATTGGTAGCTTAATGGTGCTTGTAGCTGTATGGGGGTAAACTACAGTCTGGGTGAGAAGAAACATTTCAACCTATCACATAATGCCATTTAGCAGAGTCGGAAGCTCTAAACAAATACAGCACCACCATGAAAGGTTCTAACTCTAGCCTTCCTCTCGAAAGCACCCCCGGGTGCAAGTAGATAAATATGGACTGCTTACTAGCGGGAAGGTAAACGGCGTTTCCGTGTGCGGCTCTGGCTCGCCAGAGCAGCGATGTCACGCTGGCCACGTGACCTGGAAGTGTCCCCGGACAGCGCTGGCCCCCGGCCTCTTGAGTGAGATGGGCGCACAACCCTAGAGTCTGTCAAGACTGGCCCGTACGGGCAGGGGTACCTTTACCTTTACTAAGCTCCTTCAAAGAATAAAAGCTTCAAAACATGAAAAGCTGGAAACTGAGCTAAGTGCACTGACATCCACAGAACCAGAGAGCTCCTGCAAGGTTGTGACACCCCAGGCCCGATGTTTTCTAAGGGCAGGTTCATAAATGCAAATATGAACTCTTGCCACTCAGTAACTCAGGCCAAACTACAGGTTCATGATGTGATTAACAATCACATTGTGGTTTTTTACAATTAAGTATCACGTTGTAATTGACACCACAGTGTCAAGAGAGGCTTAAACCTCCCCCCTTCCCAACTGCAATCTCCATAAAGGTCTCATGCACACTCACCCCATGTGGCAATTAGTACTAAGAGAAAACTTCCCATTGATGTCAATAGGAACTTTCCCCCCCCCCTCCTAATGCCGATTAACATTTTTATTAAGATCACAGCTGGAAAAGGATACGCTGATACACTACCGCCACCATCACCACAAATGCCTAGTATTTTATTTTTAATTAAACCCACTACATGATTGCTAATCATGTCATAAATATAATGTGTAGTTAGGCAAAATGTTGAATGTTTTGCTTCCCTCACGTGATATGAAATCTGTTAAGCTCATTCACATATAAAAGGCACCACAATATCTGAATCAGTGAGAAGTAAAGATGTCAACTGCCCATCAGCCTCTTGGTATCAGAATATGTGTTATTAGTATTAGAGTTTTTATCCACTACTCCTCCAAAAAGTTTGGGGGGATCCTCATTCATCCTCAGAACACCCCTGTATGATGGACTAAGCCAAGAGTCCATGCAAGGGCCAAGGTCATGTAGTATGACAGTCTATCAGGAATTGCTGGAAGTTCCTTTAGTGAAGCCTACAGAAACATTAGCACTGTGGGGTTCAGTCCTTGCATCCTACAAGATCGAAAGGTATATTTAGACTGTGATCTCATGCATACTTGCCTAGGAGTAAGCCTCGCTGAACTTAATGGTGTTTCTGAGAGGATTGCACTGCTAGTATATCAGATCAAATCCTGTTAATCAAAATTGCTCTCCTGACAACCAGCCCTAGGCTTGAAGAGGGCACATAATTGCCACCATCTGCTCACCTCTGCTGCTGCTCCATATCCCTCAGGTCTCGCAGGACAGCATAAAGCATATCACTGGATGACTGAAAGAAAAATCAACACATCTGGTTAAAAATGCAACCTAGCAATAAAGCAGGGGCACTCATTTTGAACAAGTTTGCAGAAGTGCAACAGGCTCCAAATAGCCTGTTTTTTGGGATGGTTTGAGGGGAAAGGGCTATAGCGCAGTACCAGAGCAAACATTTTGCACAAGACCAGATTAGAATCTTTAAATATCCGTGTGTGTGTGTGTGTGTGTGTACACAATAATAAACCATAAAATAAAGTTTTATTTTTCAAAATGGAACAAAACCAACAGTAAGATGGAAAATAATGTTTATTTTTGTATACTTCCACTTTATCTATAATTGGGAAAAAATTCTGCTGCTTTTTCTAATTGCAAAGTCTTTGATCAGATCCTCAAAACTAATCTTGCATAACACATCTGCTTCTATACTTAGTAGAGATAAGACATCCAGCTTGCCTTGTTGCATAATTGTTCTGTTGGAATTTTTAATATAATTCAACTCAGAAAATGAATGCTCTGCTGAGTAATTTGTGACTATTAATGATAAAAACCCAGCAATGGAAAATTTCTGTGGTGTCCCCCTTCCCTTGATGCCCTAAGCACATGCTTATTTTGCTTAATGGTTAACCCAGTCCTGATTTTGCATGCAACCCCCCCCCCCCAAGAGAAAACTGCTCTTTAGTGCTCAATCGGAGCAAACAGCAAAGTGGTTTTCTCCAGATTGACACTTGCTCCGATTCAGTACTAAAGAGCAGGTTTTCCCTGGGAAAGGAGTGGAGCAAGGGGGAAACTGCTTGAACCCATGCCTAGAAAGTGCGGGTGAAGCAGAAAACAGCTGGGAGCCATGCTTTTTAGGCACGGAACAAACAAAAGGGTGGACGAGCCCAGGCTTTTCAGATGGAAGTGAAAGCACAACAAGTTGTGCTGTGTGTATTGAAGGAGCAGAATTGTGATGTAAGGTTTCCAAAACAATGAAAGAAGGGGCAAGACACCACAGTTAACACATTTTGGAACCATTAATCTAAAACTGGTCCAGATGCCAACTTCAGCTAAGGACTCCTAGGCTATCCGTTGCCGTGGTTAAGAACAGTGAGAGGCTGACTTCACAACATCCAAGGATGTATGATAATGAGAAAAAAGCAGGTACTGCCAAGGAGACTACCTCACCAATGAAGCCAACAAACACGACAGATTCTGGAAAAGGAAGCCCTCTCATGATTTCCTTAGTAAGGCAGCTGAGCACATGGAGGTGCTGCTTTTCCAGAGCCACCGTCTCACCTCCTCATTCCTTGTTATGGCCTTTACCTCAATTGCATTATTGAGGGTACCATTCCAAGCACTGGTGGAAAGGGACCTGTGGGGAGAGGGCTCAGGCTGGGGGAAAAGATGGAGTAGGAGGTGGTGAGAGAGGTGAAAGAGCAGGGTTATAATGCTTGGAAGGGGCAGGAGTCAAGACAACAGTAAATTCATAGATGGGCCATAGGCACGAAGGACTGATCCAGCAAACTGATCCACGAAGGACTGATCCAGCAAACTTAGGACATGGGTGACGGAGTCACTCATAACCTTGAGCATAACCATAGAATCGTAGAGTTGGGAAAGGACCATGAGGACCATGTAGGCCAACTCACTGCCATGCAAGAATCTTTTGTCCAACATGGGGCTCAAACCCACAATGCTGAGACTAAAGAGTCTCACACTCCACCAATGGAGCTATCCCATGTAATCCCAACATATCTTTCAACAGTGGGACCACCTCACCAAGAGACCTTACCTCCAGTATGTGTATAACATATGCGGGGTAGAGCAGCAGTAGGCCTGTGACCCCCTCGCTCTGGTAATAGGAGCGCTGAAGACTCGCAAACAGTTGTTCCCAGTACTCTGAGGAGAAGCAAGGCAGGCTTGAATCGTTCTTGGAATAGCATGCCAACCCCCATACAGTGGGCACAGCCAGGTGACACCTGTCCCCCCTGGCCTCTCAGGCTCGCCCATCCTCTGCCCTCCTTGCTGTAAAGCCAAACTAAAATCGAGCTTGCGAAATAGGAAAGAAAGGTGTGGGTTTGTAGAGCAGGAAGCCCAATGCCTGCAATCCTTTCTTAATATCTGCATGTTCTTTAAAGAGCCCCTCTTTTTATTAATCTGAGAAAACCTATGAATCTGAAGCTCATGTTAAAATATGGAGGTATCCTAACACTTCACCCAATGACTCAGCGACAGCCCTACGAGGATTCTGCATTGCCTCTCTTCGACTGACCCTACAAAATTTCCTACTATTTTTCATTTCAGTGCTGCGCAGGTTAACACTTTCCCTGCGTGTCACTTGCTTCAATTGCCTTAGCTAAAAAAGAGCATCTCATTTATGCTTGGTAGGCAAAAACAGTTTGCTGACTTTGGTTTGTACTCAAAGACACACATTTCGTCTTGTCTGACAGAATGCCTTCCCTTCTCCTGCCAGCCTGGGGGTTCTCCCAACCTTCTGGAGCAGATTTGGGGAGGGGAGAGGGGGAGGGGAGGAAGTCCCACTGCGCTAGTGGGAATACTTGTGCTGGCTTCTGCGACTTAGCTTAATGCAGTCCTTTCTCCTATGTTTCCAAACTCGTGTGCTCCCCCCACCCTCCAGGCAGCCTCCCAAAGGCCTCTAATATTTGCCCTAGTCACCAATATGGCTAACAAGATGGCAATGGGCAGCCCATTTCATTCATTTGCCTCACCCCATTCTAGAACCTCTTGTGAATTATCTAGAAAGGTGAAGCAGCCAGCAGGAGGATGTTTCCTTACCAGCTAAATCCCTTTTGTCAGCCAGCTCTGGTGAGATCTTGGCCAGGAAAATCAGCCGATGGAGAAGAGATTTCTAAAGGACAAAAAGAAAGCATCTGTTATCGGAAGCTACAAACTAAGGCATACTATCAGCTGTGTAAAGAGTTACATTTTGAGATAATATTTAAAACATGTTGTTTTTGATATTGTTATAAAAATTACCGTATTTTTCTGTGTATAGGACTAGGTTTTTTTCATTGGGGGGCATCTTATACATGGGGGCCATCTCCCCCCCATTTTCTTAAATCGGAGTCCCCCAAAATAGGGGGCATCTTATAGATGGAAAAATACGGTACCTTTCTTCCGTTATTAATCTCTGGTTGTGACCAATAGAATCTCTTTGTTTGCCCTGCCATTTTTTGCAACATCTATTATTGCACATTCCTAATTATTATTTGTGCTTATGGTGATACTGGGGAGGTTATGCGGTCCCACTTTTAATGTCATTTGCACCCATAAAGGTTTTGGGACAGACAATAGCATGAGGTTGTAAGATTACCACAAACTGTAATTTTAGAAGAAGAGTTTGGATTTGATATCCCGCATTATCACTACTGAAGGAGTCTCAAAGCGGCTAACATTCTCCTTTCCCTTCCTCCCCCACAACAAACACTCTGTGAGGTGAGTGGGGCTGAGAGACTTCAGAGAAGTGTGACTAGCCCAAGGTCACCCAGCAGCTGCATGTGGAGGAGCGGAGACGCTAACCCGGTTCACCAGATTACGAGTCTACCGCTCTTAACCACTACACCACACTGGCTCTAATTTAAGATTTTGCACCTTGTTTCTTAGTTTAAGAGAGGGTGAAATAGAGTTAGTGCTAAAAAATTTCCCTCCCCCTCCCTGCAATCTATTTTCTGCTTGACTTCCTTTGAGTAAACTAAGACATTTCACTCAAAATACTTATTCTGCTTGCATGATTAAGTATGCTCATGCATGAGCTCTTGTGAATGAAGCCTTGCTGCGTAGCCTGAAGTCTGTGTTTGTGTTATAATTAAATAGGCATTCATTATGACATCCCTGACTAGTTGGGGCTGAGGGGAGTTGTAGTCCAAAGCAGTGGCGTAGCGTGGGTTGTCAGCACCCGGGGCAAGGCAAGTAATTTGCGTCCCCTAACCCGTGGATTTGCGCCCCCTAACCTTTGGATTTGCGCCCCCTAACCCATGGATTTGCCCTAACCCCAGATGTTGCGCCCAGTGCGGCCAGCCCCCCCTGCACCCCCCATGCTACGCCACTGGTCCAAAGCATCTTTCTTTCCCCCTCTTTCTCCCCTCCCCGTAACCTCAGTGTGCCTATGATAGCAACGTCTCACACCAAATGTACACCTACCTGTGGATAGGACTCTGTGAATTGAAAACAGAGATGTTATATGTGCCTTTGTTGTCTATGAAACTCTGTCAATAAAAACCATTTAAAATCTGGAGGCACTAGGTTGGTGAAAGCGGACTTATAAACTCGGAAAAGGTGCTTGCAATTCGAACCTAAGCAGGCTTATTTGGAAATAAACCCCACTGAGTTCAGTAGGAATCACTTCTAAATACTGTAGATATTTATATTGTCGTCTTAAACTTGCTTCAGTCTCACATGGCCACAGCTGTCCATGCATTCATAACGTGAAGGCTGGACTGTCCTTGAGGTTGGTCCACAGGCCAGATGTTCTCCACCCCTGCTTTCCAATGCCTTCGTGTCTTTCGTTTTCATGTGTTCAACCATACAGCAGGACATAGCCCATTTTCATCTTGTGTACATTTAAATCCACCAATAAGTGCAATTTAAGTGGCTGGTTTTGTTCTCAGAAATGTAGAATGCTAAAGATCAAAGGAAAATGGCCCATGATGTAATTTACCCTTCAACCTTTACCAGGTGAAAACAGAATGACACTTGTTTTAGATAAGAAAATATTTGGTCGAGCAAGTTATGTCCACTAATCCATGGCTCACTTGCCTCACTATTGCCATTTGGAAACATTTAGTATCAGTATTGCATTCCCTGTACAGAACACTCTTCATTCAGATATCATACCTTTAAAAAAAAGATGAGTTCCACACTAAGTTCACTTCCAATTTCTATGGCTTCCAAAAGGCTGCCTGCTGAGCCATATTGCTGCAATTCAATTGGATGCGATGCTTGAATATTTAGGCCTATGCTTGGAATTAGGACACCTACTAAGAAAATAGGCCCTTCACTTACCAGTAATAGGAACAGCCAGACTGCATGTTACAACACTGACAGGAGGGGCATAGATGTGTGTTTGAATATGTGAGCATAAAGGGTTTGATTTTCTCCTGGTAGGTCACTCTGCTTGGAACCATTGAGGATACACTGTAGATGTCTCACAGAAGACATGGGCCACAAGAAGTAAACCTCTGCCACTTCTCCAAGTGATTCCTTTTGGTGCCAATCTCAGAAAAGTAGAGGATGAATAAGTGAACAGTGAACATCACTCGAACAGGAGGTTTTGATGTGCTCTCCCGAAACTATCAACTTTCACCTGCTTCTAGGAGGGATAAAACAAGGGCAACGACTGTGTTGATACCAAGCAAGGGCTAACTGAGTCCCAAGAAGCAGACTGCTAGAGCAACAGATTATAGTGGCCCAGGACCCATTTTCATCAGGGGTACAAAAAGATGCTTTCTAAGGTCTAATATTACACCACACAACTCATAGTGGGCAAAACGGACACACACTTACAAACTGTATCCACAAAATGTTCATTCAGCAGTGTCATTTTGAACACAGGTATCAGTCCCGTGCACCCCGCCCCACTCCACCCAAGCTAATGCTCACAGCTAATATATCACACACTCGAGTCCTTCTCTCTCTCTCTCTCTCTCTCTCTCTCTCACACACACACACACACACACACACTCACTCACACACACCCTCAGCCACAGTGAGGAATTAAGCAGGTACATGGAATCCCTGATCTAGAGTACTCACTGTTTCTTTTGTCCCACTGTGCACTTTTTCCTGGAGGAGCTGATCAAGTAAGTTTGTTCTCTCTTCCTCAGATGGTGATGCTTCCTGCTTCTCCCACATCTCGGTCTCCTTCTCATAAGTCCCCTTTCCTGAGGTGCCTGCTTTAAACCTTGACATAGTGGCCTGGCTTCTAAAAACCTGATTCTGGGAGATGGAGCTTGGGGAGCTTTGAATAAATCATAGAAATCTATCCAGATAATGTTACACTCTGCGTCAACCATGAGGCAGTTCTGGCCAAACAAAGCTGTTTGTTGACAACCGTGGCTCCTGGTGCCTTAGGAGCAGTGTCAGGCATGCACGTTTTTCTCTCAAAGGTGCATTGTCTTTTGGCATTGGCAGGCTAGCTGAATGGGGCAGCTGTTGCTCAGGCAACACTTGACCTCTAACGATAACATCTGAGCCTTGTGGTGACATTTCAAAACTTATGGGCAGGCAGGAGCTACACTTTTGGGAGTAGAAGTTGGGCTGTTACCTGAGATCCGTTTTTTGCTAAGTTCATCTACAGCAGCATTAACAGGGAGGGAAGACATATTTGTGCCAACAGTGGCAAATTTCAGCCATGGAATTATAATGTAGGTACCAATGATTTTTGGCACAGAAATGCAAATCTAAATGGTAACATGAAGCAGCCAATCTGTGACTAGAAATTTTCAAGAGTGGTTTCTGCCTGCTGGCCAATCAGAAGTTGGGATTCTCTAATGACACACAGTCACATTTCAATGCACTGGCCAGAGACACACTCAAGTGCTAAGGAGTCTTTCACACGTGTAAATAAGCATCCTTCTGTCACTGTCCCCCGAGAAAGTACAGATCTTTAGATGTACTCCATCAAAATATTTGAGGGTCATTCACAGTGTTTCCCCCAAAATGAACAAACAAACAAACAAACAAACAATCATATATATTCACTTAATTGCTCCAAATGTCTCCAATTTTTGCTCATTCAGCCATGTACACAAGTTGGTTTTTTTTCAAAACAAAACAAAACAAAGAAACCATGACATCTCACAGAGACTGCACACAAACTATGGACTTTGTGACCAAAGTGGGTGTGCACTTATTTGCAAAGCCTCACGAAACTTACCTGGTTTCCAGTGTAGGTGCTGGAAAAACAGAGGTGCTACATGACAGTGTATGCAGCTCTGGGGGCTGGAAAACAGTGAAACCTACATTTGGCACCCAAGATTTCATATGAATTTGCATCCTACGTCAAGAGGAAGTGCAGAGCATTCCATCATCTAAGAACATCCAAGACTTCAGTTAAAGAAACTTGTCTGAATTCCCCCTTTTGTCAAACAGCCAAACGGGTTTTATAGCTAGCCCTATTTAAAGCTCTCTCACATGTTAAGATTGGGGTCCTTAGGCTCCCACAGGGAGTATGGTGAATATGGGGCTGGAGGACCCCTGGAAGTATCTCTCCCGCTCATCCCAGGCACAAACCTTCCCATCCACTCTCTGCCTCTCCAGCCGCAACTGATACATTGAAGTCCTCTCTTCAAAGGTGAGATCATCCGTGTGGTATAAAAAGCTGCTGGCTGCCTGGGAGGACGCCATAGTTCACTGTGCTCCTGCTGAAGTTGCTAGGCAATGGCTTAACAAAAGAGCCCCCAGGGAGTGGGAGATGGCTCACTCCATCCCCCATGTCAACAAAGCTCAGCCTGCAGCAGCCTGGTAAGGGGACGCTTACATTCGGCCAGAGACACGGTTGTGCCAGCAAGTTAATGAGTCCAAAGTCATGCTCTCCTGCACGCTTAAGAACATTTTCCAGGGAGCCTGGGAAACTAGGGCTGTCATTCAGGTGTACAGCTTTTTCTTCACAGATGTTGGGGATAGATAGATAGAAACACACTAGGCAGAAGCAATGAAAGCCTAAGAATGCCAGCACCCTCTGAAAGAATGTCTGTGCAGCAGCTTGCTTTGTAGCTCTAGAAAGGACTGTGCAGCGAGGGCCCCACACCAGCAGTATAAATTGGATTCCGCAGGCTGCACTGCTTGCACAGGCACCATAATGACACACTTCTGACGCATCCCTCTTTTGCTCTCTCTCTCTCTCTCTTGTCTCCCTGCAGTCTGGGTTCTGTTCTTTGCACTCCGTTGAAGTGGAACTCTCCAAAATCACCAACCACCTTAGACACAGACAAATCCAAAGATCTCTGTCCTAATTCTCCTTAACCCCTTTGTGGACAGCGGATCACCTACTCCTACTCAATTCCTCCTATGCCCTAGGTTTCAGTGACCGGCCTCGGCTTGTGCTCCTCCCTGCCTACACTCACCCAACCTTTCTATGGGGTGGTTTGTTTTTCTGCTTCCACACACACCCCTCCATTGGGGTCCCTGGCGGCGGGGGTGTTTGAATAATAATAATAATAATAATAATAATTATTATTATTATTATTATTATTATTATTATTATTATTATTATTGCCTCTATCATTTCTCTACAGACTGCCTCCTGGAAGTCTCTGTCAGATCACATGGCTTTGAGTATTACCCCCATACTGATGGCTTCCCAGCTCTACCTCTCCAATCCAAAGCCTTCTCTCATCATTCCACCCCACAGTGCTAACTATCTGTCTGATTATTTCATCATTGTCTCACACTAAGAGTAGACCCAGAAGTTAATGGACGTTTTGGAGGCAAGAATATGCAGGCGTATCTGGTTGCTTGAGGTAAGAATCGCGTATGAAGTGGAGCCACAAGCAAGGCAACTTAATAGCAGGAACTCGGATTCCAGCAGCCACATCAAACATTTCACATCTAAGACAGCTCTAGTTTGATCATTCTGGTGTGTAGGAAGGAGCTCCAGGAAATGCACAGAGTTGCCCCCAGAGTCCATTTTATACTGTGTACTTTATACATTTAAAGGCTTCGAGAAGAATGCGTCAGAATCCATTTGGATTGGAACACAAAAACCGAAATTACCCCTCCCAGTTGCCAGAACATCCAAGTGAACCGACAACCTCTGGATTAACCCACTCATGTCCACCACTGATCCCCCAAACCATTGAGGCTCATCACGCATTTGAGACATTTTTAATAACAAATAGATCTGTAAAACCCAAAGGCCTGCAGAAAATAGAAAAGCTGGTATTATTGCATAGGGCAATGTCTAGATTCTCCCCATATTTTTCTCTTCCCCATTACCTGGTACCAAAATAAATGCCGTCACAAAACAGCACATCCTCTCGCTAGCATCATTAAAGCTATCTCTCAGTACAGAATAAATACTTTTAACTCTAAGATTCTCCCATCTGATCTATCCCTCTCTCCCCGCCCCCCTTCTAACTCCATGGTTCACAATATCCCTGTTGCATCTTCCTTCCCAGGCAAGGCAATGGTGTCACTCAGCACCCCTTGAGAAACTCCCCGTGAAACAAGCACCAGCGAAACTTTCCAGCAATCTACAGATCTTTCCAAAGGCCCTGGCACCTCCAGAGCACCCAGGGTTGGCACTCTTTCAGTACTTCCACATGAAATCACGGGCTAGTTCAGAAGCTGGATTCGGGTACAGCTAGTCTCCTGCCCAGAGATGCCGTGTGGTATCTTGCCCGCTGGAAAGTGCCACAAGAAACCCCCTCTAGAGTTAGCGGTGGTGTGTAACCTTGCAAGGAGACACTGTTGTTTGCCTTGCCGAAGGAGGTTGACCTGCTCAGCAACCAGTCACTCTTTCCCTTGCTGCTGCAGGAGCTTTGAGCACGTTTGATGTCCAACTCAGAACGGCAAATCCGCCCATTGGGCAGCCCCTCTGTGGAGCTGCGGCCCAGGGTGGAGCCAACTGCTTTGCTGCCTGTGATGGAACTCAACGTACCATTGGAGAGAGATGACCGGGAGGATGCCATGGCTGGTGGTGCAACACCATGTCTCTCAGACTCACTGTGTCTCTTAGGGTCCCTCCGCAGGAAGCCAACTCTGAAGACAGCCAGCTTCCCCTCTGGCTGCTTCTCGCCCTCAGTGTCCCTCTCCCCAACACAGGGCATGAGCTTTTGGTCCTGGGCTCCTCTGCTCTTGGGCTGATAGTTGGATGGGGGAAGGTTTGTCCCAGTGCGCAAGGTCCCATTGATGTTCACTTTGCCCATGGGCTCCTCATCTTTCATTGGAGGTACTGTGCTGAGAGAGAGCACCAGTTTCTTTGGAGTCCGGGGCTGCTCGCCTACGTCCTCCTTTGGCTTCCCAGCTCTTTTCATGCTGCTTGTGTTCTCCATGCTGGTGGGCACTTTGCCAGTGCTCTCTGTGGTCCCCACACCTGTGAGCTTTGCTTTGGCGACCGAAGGCCCATTGTCCTCCCCTTCCTTGGTCATGAGGGGGACAATGGACTCATTCGTGAACCGCGGTCTGCGGCCAGATTCCAGGTATTCCACGAGTTCCCCAGAAGGCTCTGCTGGCCATTCTTTGGACATGAAGGACCATCGCAAGGGCACTGGTTTGGGGGCTCCCAGTTTGGCCTTACTGGGAGAAGCTTTCAGGCTGATGCTCCTGCCTTGAACACCACGCACCAGGGGTCGTGACTCAAAGCCACCTAGAAAAGAAAATTAAGATGGTTGGCAGGAGCTCCAGTTACTCTCTAAAGTCAGAGAAGTGACGCACACTCCCAACACAGGAATGTGTAAGCTTGTTTAGAAAAATAGTGACGTTGCCCAGACTTGTATTCTTGGACCTGAGTGACATTAGAACTCCTGAATTCTTCTCAGGCTCAGATTTTAATCAAAGCTGACCTTTTTCAAATTCATCTCCTTTTTACTCACCCATTAATCCTCCAATATCCCCCCTCAAAAAAAAACACCCATTTATCTGGCTGCTGCTATTATGACAGCCCTTGGAGAAAATTACACATCCTGGTTGCTGCACACCAGGCACTAGAAGGTAGATATATCCCTCCTGACTTTAGCAGACATCAGCACCAACCAGGTAAGTCAAAGAGGGAAGGATGGGGAAGAAGCTTGGATGACGTGTTCGGGGATAAGTTCCAAAGAGTGGGGAGCTCAGTCTGAATGCGGACCGGCTTGCAAATAAGCTGTTTCTCAATTCTAGAAGCAACAGCTTGGTTTCATTCCAAGCCAATTGATTTGGGATTCAGAGGGGTGGGAAGCTTGCCCATTATCTGGATACAGGATGAGCTGGGCAAATGGATGAACCAAACACAGAGCTGGAGATTGGCTCAAAAGGACTGTGGCAAATTTGCTAATTTAAAGCCGCTTAGCAGTGAGCTAGTTTGCACTAGCAGATGCTAGTGCAAGAAAAGGCATAGAAAACCACCCCTGGTGGTGCAACAGGTGACTACTGTAGTCTTGATACTTCCTGGTGCACAACAAGCTTCCACTAGCACAATGATTGCAATGCAATTTGAATTGCACAAGCTTTATATTCATCCTTACACTAGCAGAACAGTCCATTGGTTGCCACTGAGAGCCATTCAGCAAAGGGAGCATCCTGCAAGCCTTGTCAACAATGACAAAGGCCAGGGACCTGGTCTGCCAGCTGGAATGAGGTGGACTTTGTACCAGAAAGCCTAGGTGCATAGTGAGCAGCATAGCATGAATCAGGCACCTTTCTCTGGGCAGCTGCTGGCATTGGTGAGGGTAGGTGAGTCCGGCATTTTTGTCAGAGATGGGCAGGTAGCAGAGCTCCGGGACACCAGGCTCTCTCGCTTGCTGTTTCCGCTGAGGCGTGCCAGCCAGTGTTCCGAGACAGAGGAACTGGTGGAACCTGCAAGAGAAATCCACAGAATTCAAGTGTTCTGGAGAGAGCCTTCCACCAAGGACTCCCCCAAAATAGGTGCAGCTGTCAAAGTCAGCCAGGGATTACGGGAAGCAGCAAGCTTTGCACAACCAGAGGTCCAGATGGGCCTTCTCTTGGTCACCTAAAACTTGCCATGTTGTGAATGTAGGACTGGGTTGGTTGGAGTGAGGTAAGCCAAGAATTTGCTGAACATTACAAACCTGTAAAAGCAACTAAAAAGCTAGAGATGAAGTGGGACAGTGGAAAGGAGAAAATTATTGGCTAACATATTGAAGGGAAATTTTTTTAAAAAATATTGCTTTGGGGGAGGACCCACCAAAATCTCACGTCCATTTTCAGGTCCAGAGACTTTTTGTGTTGCTTTGAGAATCATGCTTCAACAACAAACCAAAAGCAAGCACACCCAATATACATTGTGAAAAGTGTTGATGACACTCCAAAACGGCAACATTTCTGTTAGAAAAATAACATTTTTCTTATATTTTTCTCTTTCTTTCTTTCTTTTCTTTTTTTTTCTTTCTTTTTGTTTCTTTTCTTTTTCTGTGTTTTTATTTAGATTATTTTATCTTTGATATTCTAAAAAGATACTGGGTATTTGATATTAACTTTTGTGTATATTTTTTCAAACTTTAATAAAATCTATTTGGGGAGGGAGCGAAAAATAACCTGGTGGGTAGGGAGGTTCAAAGAAGTGGATTTGAACTGGGACTAGCTCTGAAATCAGCCAAGCTGTTTCCTGAGTTTTAGAGAAATGGATTGGCTCTTTCTCAAGTTCATCTCCTTTTTACTGGGGGGTGGGGAGGTCTGAAACCCCTTGGGCAGTGGAGGCTTGCCCAACGAGTCCTGCAATGGTCTCACATCAAGGTAAAGCAAGTTTACAGTGACTTCTTTTGGACTGAATAAGGCCCACATTTTTGTCTTACACCAGCATGAGTCTCAAGACTCGTGCTCTAAAACCCAATACCATGTCTGTTGGAATTCTGTGCATTTGTCAATTCCACCAGTAAAAGACATGGAACAGATAAAATGCCCGGAACAGTGTCACTGCATGGGTTAAGCACTGCTTACGCACCTCTAACAGAGCTTCCACCAGACCAGCTTGGAACCACACAGCGTCTCTGGTAGAAGAGGATGTAAGCACCACGAGTGCTGACTTCATCCTCCAAGACAGGTTCCACAGTGCTGTCATCATAGCTGTACCAATGACCATCCAAGGTGTTGCGACAGTAGGCTGGGGACAGAGTAGACAACCACATTAACAGAGACACTGGCTGGTGGGACTGAACTTCCTCCAAACGTGTGGTTTATATTGAAGCTGCTGAGAGAGATCCAGACCAATCCTAATGATTATTCTCAGATGGAGGGCTTCAAATGCATCTATTGCAGGCATGGGGAACCATTGACCCTTTTAGATTTTGATGAACTACAACTTCCGTCATCCCTGATGATTGGCCATGTTTTCTGGGGTGGGAGTTGTAGTTCAGCAACATCTGGAGGGCCAAAGGGTTCACTAGAGAGAGGAAAAGTTGCTGGACAGTGGGATAATTTTCTAGCATGTGATCAGGCCAAGCAGGTAGTCTGCATTTCCTGCTTGATAAACATACTTGTATCCACATGCCT